CCACTCACTATTCAGTCGTAATTGTTCTAGCAAGTCAAGATTGCTAAACATTACGGTCATTCTTCGTGTGTATAATAATTTTCCAAGCGTAGCTTAGATGTGGTACAATGCAGAAAGTATGGGTGCCCCCAGTCAGGATTGAACTCCCTACGCAGTCGTAATTGTTCTAGCAAGACAAGATTGCTAACCGTTACGGTGCTTCTTCGTGTGTATAGTGATTTTCCAAGCGTAGCTTAGATGTGGTACAAGGCCGAATGTATGGGGGCCCCCACTCACTACTGAGTCGTAATTATTCTAGCAAGACCAGATTGCTAACCATTACGGTGCTTCTTCGTGTGTATAGTGATTTTCCAAGCCTAGCTTAGATGTGGTACAAGGCAGAATGTATGGGTGCCCCCAGTGATGTTTGAACTCACTACTCAGTCGTAATTGTTCTAGCAAGACAAGCTTGCTAACCATTACGGTGTGTCTTCTTGTGTATAGTGATTTTCCAAGCGTGGCTTAGATGTGGTACAAGCCCGAATGTATGGGAGCCCCTACTCACTACTCAGTCGTAATTGTTCTAGCAAGACAAGATTGCTAACCATTACGGTGCTTCTTCGTGTGTATAGTGATTTTCCAAGCGTAGCTTAGATGTGGTATAAGGCAGAAAGTATGGGTGCCCCCAGTGAGGATTGAACTCACTACTCAGTCGTAATTGTTCTAGCAAGACAAGATGGCTAACCATTACGGTGCTTCTTAGTGTGTATAGTGATTTTCCAAGCGTAGCTTAGATGTGGTATAAGGCAGAAAGTATGGGTGCCCCCAGTGAGGATTGAACTCACTTCTCAGTCGTAATTGTTCTAGCAAGACAAGATTGCTAACCATTACGGTGCTTCTTCGTGTGTATAGTGATTTTCCAAGCGTAGCTTAGATGTGGTACAAGGCAGAAAGTATGGGTGCCCCCAGTGTGGATTGAACTCGCTGCTCAGTCGTAATTGTTCTAGCAAGACAAGATTGCTTACCGTTACGGTGCTTCTTCGTGTGTATAGTGATTTTCCAAGCGTAGCTTAGATGTGGTACAAGGCAGAATGTATGGGTGCCCCCAGTGATGTTTGAACTCACTACTCAGTCGTAATTCTTCTAGCAAGACAAGCTTGCTAAACATTACGGTGTGTCTTCTTGTGTATAGTGATTTTCCAAGCGTGGCTTAGATGTGGTACAAGGCCGAATGTATGGGGCCCCTGATGTTTGAACGCACTACTCTGTCGTAATTGTTCTATAGTGATTTTCCAAGCGTGGCTTAGATGTGGTACAAGGCAATGACCCCTACGCGCTTGTCTAATTATTCTGGTGCTTCTTCGTGTGTATAGTGATTTTCCAAGCGTAGCTTATATGTGGTAAAAGGCCGAATGTATGGGAGCCCCCACTCACTACTCAGTCGTAATTGTTCTAGCAAGACAAGATTGCTAACCATTACGGTGCTACTTCGTGTGTATAGTGATTTTCCAAGCGTAGCTTAGATGTGGTACAAGGCAGCAAGTATGGGTGCCTCCAGTGAGGATTGAACTCATTACTCAGTCGTAATTGTTCTAGCAAGACAAGATTGCTAACCTTTACGGAGCTTCTTCGTGTGTATAGAGATTTTCCAAGCGTAGCTTAGATGTGGTACAAGGCCGAATGTATGGGGGCCCCCACTCATTACTCAGTGGTAATTGTTCTAGCAAGACAAGATTGCTAAACATTACGGTCCTTCTTCGTGTGTATAGTGATTTTCCAAGCGTAGCTTAGATGTGGTACAAGGCAGAAAGTATGGCTGACCCCCATGAGATTTGAACTCACTACTCAGTCGTAATTGTTGTAGCAAGACAAGATTGCTAAACATTACGGTCCTTCTTCGTGTGTATAGTAATTTTCCAAGCGTAGCTTAGATGTGGTACAAAGCAGAAAGTATGGATGCCCCCAGTCAGGATTGAACTCACGACTCAGTCGTAATCGTTCTAGCAAGACCAGATTGCTAACCATTACGGTGCTTCTTCGTGTGTATAGTGATTTTCCAAGCGTAGCTTAGATGTGGTACAAGGCAGAAAGTATGGGTGCCCCTAGTGAGGATTGAACTCGATACTCAGTCGTAATTGTTCTAGCAAGACAAGATTGCTAACCGTTTCGGTGCTTCTTCGTGTGTATAGTGATTTTCCAAGCGTGGCTTAGATGTGGTACAAGGCCGAATGTATGGGGGCCCCTACGCACTACTCTGTCGTAATTGTTCTAGCAAGACACGCTTGCTAACTATTACGGTGCCTCTTCGTGTGTATAGTGATTTTCCAAGCGTAGCTTATATGTGGTAAAAGGCCGAATGTATGGGAGCCCCCACTCACTACTCAGTCGTAATTGTTCTAGCAAGACAAGATTGCTAACCATTACGGTGCTTCTTCGTGTGTATAGTGATTTTCCAAGCGTAGCTTAGATGTGGTACAAGGCAGAAAGTATGGGTGCCTCCAGTGAGGATTGAACTCACTACTCTGTCGTAATTGTTCTAGCAAGACAAGATGGCTAACCATTACGGTGCTTCTTAGTGTGTATAGTGATTTTCCAAGCGTAGCTTAGATGTGGTACAAGGCAGCAAGTATGGGTGCCTCCAGTGAGGATTGAACTCACTACTCAGTCGTAATTGTTCTAGCAAGACAAGATTGCTAACCTTTACGGAGCTTCTTCGTGTGTATAGAGATTTTCCAAGCGTAGCTTAGATGTGCCAGTACAAGGCCGAATGTATGGGGCCCCCACTATTACTCAGTCGTAATTGTTCTAGCAAGACAAGATTGCTAAACATTACGGTCCTTCTTCGTGTGTATAGTAATTTTCCAAGCGTAGCTTAGATGTGGTACAAGGCAGAAAAGTGGCTGACCCCATGAGATTTGAACTCACTACTCAGTCGTAATTGTTCTAGCAAGACAAGATTGCTAAACATTACGGTCCTTTTCGTGTGTATAGTAATTTTCCAAGCGTAGCTTAGATGTGGTACAAAGCAGAAAGTATGGGTGCCCCCAGTCAGGATTGAACTCACGACTCAGTCGTAATTGTTCTAGCAAGACAAGATTGCTAACCTTTACGGAGCTTCTTCGTGTGTATAGAGATTTTCCAAGCGTAGCTTAGATGTGGTACAAGGCCGAATGTATGGGGGCCCCCACTCATTACTCAGTCGTAATTGTTCTAGCAAGACAAGATTGCTAAACATTACGGTCCTTCTTCGTGTGTATAGTAATTTTCCAAGCGTAGCTTAGATGTGGTACAAGGCAGAAAGTATGGCTGACCCCCATGAGATTTGAACTCACTACTCAGTCGTAATTGTTCTAGCAAGACAAGATTGCTAAACATTACGGTCCTTCTTCGTGTGTATAGTAATTTTCCAAGCGTAGCTTAGATGTGGTACAAAGCAGAAAGTATGGGTGCCCCCAGTCAGGATTGAACTCACGACTCAGTCGTAATTGTTCTAGCAAGACAAGATTGCTAACCGTTACGTTGCTTCTTCGGGTTTATAGTGATTTTCCAAGCGTAGCTTAGATGTGGTACAAGGCCGAATGTATGGGGGCCCCCACTCATTACTCAGTCGTAATTGTTCTAGCAAGACAAGATTGCTAACCGTTTCGGTGCTTCTTCGTGTGTATAGTGATTTTCCAAGCGTAGCTTAGATGTGGTACAAGGCCGAATGTATGGGGGCCCCCACTCACTACTGAGTCGTAATTATTCTAGCAAGACCAGATTGCTAACCATTACGGTGCTTCTTCGTGTGTATAGTGATTTTCCAAGCGTAGCTTAGATGTGGTACAAGGCCGAATGAATGGGGGCCCCCACTCACTACTCAGTCGTAATTGTTCTCGCAAGACAAGCTTGTTAACCATTACGATGCCTCTTCGTGTGTAGATACTGTGTACATGCTTGTATGTCAAAACAAACGATACGATTTTTCTTTCTTAAAACGCCGAGTCAATTGCAATGGAATGGTATATAGAAGGCTGATTGGGGAGAATTTTTATTTTATTTTATATTTGATCAATAAATAAATTAATTAAACTTTTCGTTTGTTTTTCTCAATTTTTGGGAGCTTTTATAATTTCACAGATTCATCCCGTTCCAAGCAGCAGGTGAATGGCACTCCGATCAAGTCGTCATTGTTTTTAATTAATTTGGATAAATTAAATGATGGCTAGTGTGCGTCCTTCACACACCTGTTTGCCCTGAACTTTGGAACATTAAAGAAGAAAAAATTATATTTGAAGACAAAAAGGAATTACCAAAAACTTGTGGAATTGATAAGTTGCGATCAGACTCACGCCATATTTACGTCAAAGACATTTCTTCAAGTCACGCCAAAAATACACATTGATATTTGCATTTGAGAAAAACGACTTACTTTCTAATTATTATTATTATTATTGTTATTATTATTATTGCAAGCTGATTGTTTCTAGTCCAACTGGGATTATATAATAATTATTTTTTTTAGTTTATTCATTTACAAAGATTTTCATCCTTAATAATTTTGGCAAGAAATTATTCCTCTTAAGGAATATGTCTCTTTGTTATTACACGTGTGCACTAAAGGGTCTCTAATGAGCGTATATGCACACATACAAACACTCGCCCTAGCATCTTACACACACAGACGCACACACACACACACACACATATATATATATATATTTATATATATAAATACGTGCATACAAAATGCCGCATGTCGCAAAAGTTGTATATAATTAATGTATATATATTTGTGTGATTTTTCATGCTTGTATGTGTGTTTATATGCGCTTCTGTGAGTGTGGGTGATGTGCATGTATCCTTCTATATGTGTGAGTGTGGATGTTGACATGTTTCGCTATGTGTGTGTGTGTGTGTGTGTGTTTGTGTGTGTGTGTGTGTGTGTGACCGTAAAAACATGACACTTTCTAGTTAACACCGCCAAAATTTAATTAAAACTCCGGTGGAAAAAGAAAAAGTCCAAAAAGGGCACTCAAAAGATGTGGATTGGTCAGCGGAAAGGGTAGGAATTAGCCATATCTACCTCCACCCCGCCATCACAACCGACTTCCGTGTTATCCTTTACGACTTCCGCATTTTCTTTTTAGGGTTGTTTTTTTGGTTTTTGTTTTTTATTTGTATTTTTATTTTGCCCTCATGACTTTCCTTTAAAGCCTTGCTTGTCTTGTCTCGCTTTCTGTTTTCACTCCTTACTTATTTAACACTCTTTCCTTTTCCCTGTCCTCTCTCTTTTTCTTTTCCTTTACATTCCTTATTTCTTTGGCGCTACGCTACTCACTCATTTCATTTATCCCTTCTTTCTTTTTTCTCTTATTTTTCCCTCTTTCTTTTTCTTTCTTTCTTTCTTTCTTTCTTTCTTTCTTTCTTTAAATTCGATTTTCATTTCTTTATCCCTTCTTTCTTTTTTCTATTATTTTTCCCTCTTTCTTTTTCTTTCTTTCTTTCTTTCTTTAAATTCGATTTTCATTTCTTTATCCCTTCTTTCTTTTTTTTGTCTTATTTTTCCCTCTTTCTTTTCTTTCTTTCTTTCTTTGTTTTAAATTCGATTTTCATTTCTTTATCCCTTCTTTTTTTTTTCTTATTTTTCCCTTTTCTTTTTCTTTCTTTCTTTCTTTCTTTTTCTTTCTTTTTTTCTTTCTTTAAATTCGATTTTCATTTCTTTATCCTTTCTTTCTTTTTTCTCTTATTTTTCCCTCTTTCTTTCTTTTTCTTTCTTTCTTTCTTTCTTTCTTTAAATTCGATTTTCATTTCTTTATCCCTTCTTTCTTTTTTCTCTTATTTTTCCCTCTTTCTTTTTCTTTCTTTCTTTCTTTCTTTTTCTTTCTTTAAATTCGATTTTCATTTCTTTATCCCTTCTTTCTTTTTTCTCTTATTTTTCCCTCTTTCTTTTTCTTTCTTTCTTTCTTTCTTTAAATTCGATTTTCATTTCTTCATCCCTTCTTTCTTTTTTCTCTTATTTTTCCCTTTTTCTTTTTCTTTCTTTCTTTCTTTTTTCTTTCTTTCTTTCTTTCTTTCTTTCTTTAAATTCGATTTTCATTTCTTTATCCCTTCTTTCTTTTTTCTCTTATTTTTCCCTCTTTCTTTCTTTTTCTTTCTTTCTTTCTTTTTTCTTTCTTTCTTTCTTTCTTTCTTTTCTTTTCTTTCTTTCTTTTAA